ACCGCCACTAAGATATTATTACTATATATATTAATATTTACATTTATTTATTCTATCCTTTCTCATTCCATCTAATACTCCATTTACCTACCTTCCTCCCTTTTTTATTATATTCACCAAAATAAGTAATTTAATCCTCCGAAGATTCAGGTTCCTTACAATACATTTTATTTTAATTAATACTTTTCTATTATTTTTTTATTTCACAATAAATGATGATTAAAAGTGTATCTTTCTAATTTTTGATAATAGAACTCTAAATAAACCAAGTTAAGGAATTCAGTTATTTCAAAGAATTTGGATAACTTAAATTTATCTTAATATAGTATATGTTATATATTTATATTTAATGTTAATAAAAGATAAAAAGTAAATTAATTAAAATTTCTATAATATATTTGAAATTCAATAATTCTTCTAATTACTATTACTAAAACATCTAAATAATTTTTTTGAGACTTCTTCATTTCATCAGTTTAATTGTGATCAAAAACTTATCTTTTAATGCTGATTCTCTTTTATTTTGTTAATTTATACATCAAGTTACTTGAATTCATATAATTTAGCACCAATAATTTTCTAATTTTAACTTAAGATAAATAATTTCATGTGGTTGGTGACAATCTACTAAATTGGATATAATTCATTTAATATTGTCAATAACAGATTTGAATTAGAGTATGATTATTAAGAAACTTTTGATGTAATGAAGAAGGTTTTCAAGTGTTAATAAAAATTATTTAATTGTAAAATAACGTAACAACCAAAAAATGAATAGAAAAAGTAAAAATTGAATTCCTAAGAATTGATATGATTCTAAATTTCCAAAAGGAAATAATTAATTTATTAACAAAAAAAAACATATGATTTTTTTTGGTTAGAGTATATCAGTAAGTTATCAAACTAAATTCAAATCGAACTAGGTGATTAATATATCTACCTGAATTCCTGATTTATAAAAATCTATGATATTTTAAATTTGACTGCATTTTTTTTTATCTGCTAATATTCATCAAAGGAAATTATATTCGAAAAATGAAATTAATTTTAATTTACTTGAACATGAATCTAAGAGTATATAAAAACACATGTTCTCAAAAAAATTAATAATTAGAAGATATGTTTGATAGTTTTGGAATATATATTTAGAATCTATAAGAAAGATATCAATGAAAATTTCATTTAGGAATATGAAGGGTGGTATAAAAGTTTATATTTTAAATCTTAAAGAATGAGGACTGCAGAGAGACAAGGTAGAATATTATATTATCAAATAATTAAATTTAAAAAGAACTTAGAATTTTTGCTTAGAGATTTTATCATTTAAATTCCTACATCAAAAAGATAATTATGAATAACTATTAATATAAACATAAAAACTTAAGACTTAAAAAGAAAGGAATACACTTACTATTTTACTCTATTCTGCTTCGATTTTAGGTTAAGCTTTATAATTTGTGAGTTTACTGTTAAAGTATTTCAACCTCTTTGTAAACGAATATTCTTAATTGCTAATTGTTGAGAGTCTCTTGTATTGTTATTGGAATTACTAGATTGAAATAAAAGTTTGAGGAAAGTATGAATTAATAAATCAAATTTACCCAAAATGTATTAATTGTGTTTTACCCATTAATTTAAAACTAAATTAAAAAATATTGATTTAATTGAATAAGAAAAAAGGAATAGTTAAATAAGGAAATATTTTCTAAATAGTCATTAAAATAGTAATAAATGTTTTTATTTAACCATTTTATTTAAATTCTCTATCGTACAATATTATCTTGAATAAAAAAACAGGATAATACAATAAAGAAGTCAAGAATTGTTGATTGACATCAAATTAAAATTTTGATCAATTTCAAACACATAATTTTTTTAAATTAAAATTTTTGTGATTTACAAAACGATTGTTCTTAACATACATTAAGGAAGTAATCCAATGATTAAATTAATAGGATAATTAAAATTATTATTCTTGTAATTCCAGTATTTCTGAAAATTTTGAATAAAAATCAATACATAACTATAAAGAATAAAATTTTGAATTATTTGATTTAAAATTATTTATCCTTCAAATCTTTTTGTGATTCTTAGCTTCTAAAGAAAAATTAAATAGATTGTTTCTGGATATGTAATTAAGAGTTGCATATTTTATGAATCCTATATTATTTTAAACTAAATACCAAACCATTAGAGATTATCAAATAGAAATTAAGTGTTTAATAATCTTCTTTACTTACCTAATTTATATATGCAGCCAAATTTTAATTATTTTAATTGCTTCTTTTCTCTTGCTCTTTTTTTTACAATCTACTTTCAAATTTAGCTTATAAATAAGATATCAATAAAATCTAAAAAAATCTACAATTAAAACTAATCTCTTCATATTTTGAAGATTAATTTTAATAGAAAAAGAATATGAATTTTAGATGTAATTAAGTTGATCATCGAAATCAGTAAATAATGGGGATTTGTGTCTAGAGCACATGTAAATATTAAAGACCATTTTGTAATTATTGTTTGCCTAATCATGGCTCACATCTTAACCAATTAATGACTTGGGAACTTTTATAGGAATGGATTGATCAAAAAATAATTCTAATTAAAGATCTTTAAAAAAATGCTTCAGATTGCAAGTCAGCCCTTGATAGTCTTATTAATAAAATTATTTCGAACTAAAACTTAAATATTTAATAATTATAAGTATTAGGACTTTCATAGATTGATAACATAATTAAGGATTTAAGTTAAATCGAAGATAGCTAGTCTTCATTATTTTAGTAACTCAAAGAATCAATGGTATAGGTAATATAAATTATAAATGAAATATTAACAAATAAATTGAAGAAGAATACTAATTTATAAGTTTAACAAACTTAAAATACCATATCATAGATTCCGTAATAAAAGAACTAGATAGACATAATTTAGACAAATTTAAAGTCATTCAAGTTTGAGCTTATAAATTAAAATCCAATTTAGTAATTAGAACAATGTTATGCAATTGCTTTTAATAATGATTGTACTATTGTTGCAGCTGGATGTTTTGAGAAAATTAAATTATTTTAACATATAAAAGGGAAACTGGATGAAATATAAGAATTAAAAGAACATAAACAAGAAGTCTATATTTTAAATTTCATGAAAAATACAAATAATTTTGTATCTGGGGGTGAAGATTATTTAATTATATTATGGCAGATGGATGTTAATAATTAATGGATATGCTAATAAAAATTAGATGAGCATTCAGGTAATTTATTTTGTTTACTATTGAACAATAATAATGATCTAATTATATCATGTAGTTCAGATCGTACAATTAAATTTTGGATGAAATAGAATTAATGGTTTTGTTAATAAACCTTAACTGATCATACTGATTTTGTATTTGCATTAAGCTTAAATGAATAATAAAATAAAATGATTTCTTGCTCTCGAGATTCATAAATATTTGTAATAGAATAGTCACAGTTTGATAAAAAATGGAATATTATTTAAAAGATAAGCATCGAAACATGGGGATGTAGATTATGTTTTATTAATGATAGCTAATTTACATTTTAACCTTATGCTAAAGAATAGATGTAAGTATATGAGTTTGATTGTCATACAAAGAACTTTAAGAAAATTAATGAAGTTTTTGTAGAATGTGGTTCCAATAGTTGTGATTTCTTATTTCAATAATAATACATAAAATCAAAATGTCTACTAGTAAATAAGAATGGCAAATATATTAATTTATTGAGGAAAAAAGAAAATGGGGATTTTATAGTTGAATAATCTATAGAATTTGATCATGAAGGTTTTTATGGATAATTAAGTGAGGATGGAGAGTATTTAATCACTTGGGCTTATAATTCAAAGATTATTTAAATTAGAAAGTGCTAAAAATTATGATTATAATTTTATAAATTCAATATTTTCTTCTAAATTTAATTTTATTTAAACGATTAATTATTATTGAACAGGATATAAAAAAAATAATTTATGATTAATTTTTATTACATTTATGCTAATCTTTGTTTAGATTGAGCAAAATAGATTGATATTAATGATTTTTATCTTAATTATTTAATTCTCTCTGTATTCAGGGCCAGGAGAAAGAGTGAAAGACTTATAATCATTTAAATTTGATTATTTTATTATCTTATTGATCAATATTAAAGAACTATAAATTGAGAATGATTAATTATTTTTAATAATCTTTTAATTGAAAATTTTACATTTTCATTTATATTAAATATCTATTTAATTTAAGATAAATTTAATATGATAATATTGTTTTATTTAAATATATTATTTCAAGTAAATAATACTAAATAATATTGAAACTTATAAAATTAATTTGTTTTTTGAAGTAATAATTGACAAAATTTAATATAACTATCTTTTCTAAATTCAAAGTAATTTATTTACAATTCCAAAAGCATATAATCTATTTTAGAATACACCATTTAATTTAGATTTCTGTATGACTAAACCAATTTTATTTTGAAATATTCAATATAAATAAAAACTCTATAGTGTCAATAAATGGCAATCTAAATAATTATTGAAGTTCTTATTTTGTTTTTTCAATATTAATTTAAATAGTTCTAATTCTTTCTTTGAAATCGTTTAAAAATACATACTTTGGATAATAATTTGATGAAATATTAAAATAAATTTGAGAAGATTTTGTTTTTATCATAATCAAAAATCTTTGTATATTAATCTTTGATAAATTGGGGAAGCATGAACATATAATCTTTAACTAATAGTTTTGGAATTTATGATATTGCGGATTTCATTAATTATTTATAAAAACACATAGATGATTATTCTAAAATATTATACTTACACAATTTTATATTTTTTCTCGATACAAATTTATCATTTATATTTTGAATTTCATAAATAAAAACTTGAGCAAAACATTTTTTTTAAATATATTAAAATATTAATTTTTACTACTTAAAAATTATTAAAATCAATAGGTGATCCTAAACCCTTGTATTCAGGTTATTAGGGACATATATTTTTATTCAACTTTGGTAAAATAACCTTGAATTTAATATATTCAATCAAAGATTTTTTTCAACTCAAAAATAAGTTTATAAATTCAATTGAGAGAATAATATTTCGAACGTAAAATTGAGAGATGTCTTTTTTCTATGATATTATTGGATTGAATTAAAAATGATCATGTCCTTTAAAATAGAGTTCTAAAGTTAGATATTTTTGGATCTACTTAACCTATTCTTATTATACTCAATTAATTTATTCTGTATCTAAGAAAATTAGTACCACTCGAAAGACTTAGTAATACCCATAACAATAATTTTATTATCAAAACTTTTTATTAAGCGAAAATTAACTTATGACTTATATAAATAAGCCTTATTAATAATAAGTTATATTATTCATATTAATATTTTTAGTTGCATTATTCTAGATAAAAAATAAAATGGTTATATTAAGCTTTAAGAAAATTGAAGCATTCTTATAGAAACTCTCAAAAGTATATATAATTTTTAATTTGCTTTGAGGAAAAAATTGTAACTAGGAAAAGTTGTGAAATTTAATTACAATGATTTACACAGATAAATTTTTTTAATAAATAAAACTATTTTTCGAAATTAAGAATTTTTAATTTTAGAATCAATAATTTAGTGTAATTGAAACATATTTTAATTTATTTTAATTTTTCATAAAGGGTGACAATATTACATTATTATATTGAATAGAATAATAATAAGCTTTTGACTCCTTATCTAATATATCTAATATCAGAAAAAAGATTTATTTAGAGGTTAAGAGAATTTATTTGAATTCTCACCATATATTTATCAATTAATTAGAAATATATATATTTTGTTATTTTTAATTAAAGAAGTTAAGTTTAAAATTTATATTTAGTTAAATATGGTAATTTTTATAAAAAATTAAAATAATTTTGATGTATTTAATTTATAAAATTTCATCATACTTATTCCTCAATTATTTTAGGGGCTAAATACAACCTAAGTATTGCAATATCTTCTATTAAATGCTCAACGACTAATGGTAGATCTTAAGACAATAACAATGTAATGGAATTGAATAATGTAGATGCTACATTAAACTAATTCAAAAATCTATTATTAACAATATATATAAATATACTTTACTTCAAACATTAAATTGACTGGTTCTATAACTTCACATATTACTCTCTCTTCTGGTCTAAATGAATAAAAAGTATTCATTTATATATGACCTAAAATAATTTCCCCTTTAACACTAAACTTTATTTTATCTTATTCTGTTTCAATATTTATGTATTCATTAATATTAGCTAATTCTCGACAAATTTTAATGAATTCTATTGATGGCATTTTTATTATTGAATTATGCTCAAAAAATGGTATTCCGAATTATTCTTCATCATTATTGAGCAAATTCAACTAAAATTCACTTATTCTTTCTAATCTAATATTTTTCTTATACTTTTTGATTCAAATATAATAGATAATGTTTTTGGATCTTCATATTATGATTTTAGTGTAATTTAATCTTCATTTTCAGAACATTTAAGAATAGTTTAAAAATTTTAAATTTTCAACCTTATTTTAATTTATTTGTCACATATATATTTTAAAAATCCATTTAAACTTATTCTAAGTGTTAACATACAACTATATTTAATATCCATACCCTTTTATAATTATTTATCAACTACTTATAATAAAATTCCAGTTTCATCACATTCTAAATTTGCACTTATGACCATTTCCTTAAATACATCAATCAATCTTTTGAATAATAATCCATTCTTAAACTTGGCTTCAAACATCTTTAATAGTTTAATAAATATTTTATAAATACAATTTTAAAATTAAGAAGTTCATAATGAACAGAAGGATTTTGAAAAGAAATCATAATAATTTTGATATTGAACTTGGCGTGTTAATTAATTTAATAATATCTCATTCAATTGAATTCTTTATTACCTATTTCCAATCATCATTTCCATTTTCTATTTCAGTTTAAAAATCAATTCCATTCTATCCAGTGGCCATTAAGGTTTGAGGTTTCATAAGTTTCATAGGTTACAAAGAGACTTTCATATAATCAGTTGAACCTTTAATTAGCAAATTCATATTATTCTATTAAATATTTTCCATTTAAATTTTTATTTTATTAATTAATTACACAAGCTGAAAATTATTGAATATGAATTTCATTTCTAATTTAAAATTAAAGATATTTTAAAAATCATTTTATTAATTATATAATCACTATTAATTTTTAGCTAATACACAGAAATCGATTGTAATTGTCATCTCAATTTATACAAAATAAGAATTCAAAAAAGTTGAAAAAACTTATTATATTATTCACGAATAGTAGATTAAGAATTAAAAATGATTAAGTTTGCAATAGTGGATTGATTGCAGCGTATATAAATTATTTTTTTTTTATATAAAATGAAAATTTTGTTTAGAAAACTATAATAAAATTGATTTTAAATGAATTTGTAAAATTTATCAACTAAAGCACAAAGTTTATTCTAGAAATTAAGTAATTTGATAAGAATGCCAATTTGTAATTATGTTTGAATGAAATTCAAGTTATCCAAAGTTTGTTTATCCAAATATATTCATAATTATATATAATGATGATTTCTTGGATTATTAAAACAAGACTGAGAATATTCATAACCTCAATTATCACACTTAGAGAAATCAAAATTTAAATTAAAAGAATAAAACCTACTCTATTAATAATAGAATTAAGAGAATAAAATATTAAAAAAATATTTAATATTAAAAATACTGTAAAAAATTAATCCATCGGCTATCCACTTGGATTCTATAGAATTCAAATAACTCAATAACTAATCCTAAAGCTTAATTTTGAGTTTCATTAAAAATATATTAATTTTTATATATTATTTAATTAATGTTCATTATGGTACTGATATTGTAATTGTATTTAATGATTATTAAATATAAGTATGATGTTACAAAGAAATCAAATTTATATGCCTCTTTTTGACCAATTTAAAAAATTTTTATTGTAAGTTTTTTTCTTTCGAGTACATGCATTAACATATTATAATCAATTTAATGTAGATAACTAATTAAAATGATTGCCATCCTTTTTAATTCGACAAATAATAATGAATTTACACCATGACAAGATTAAGTTTATCACAAAAAATTATATGATCTCAAATTTCATATATTTTGGATTCAATTTGAATATTTATGTTTAAAACTCCATTATTTAACAGATTGATAATAAGAAGAAAACAATTCATTATGGAAAAACAAAAAACATTTGAGTTTGAACTGAGGTTGTACTTTAAGCATATTTAATTCAATTTATACAAATAATTAAACAGCAACTGATTCAGGATATATTTTAGATTATCAACAGTCATTTTAGGATATCTCATGTTTTTATGAGAACCATTTTTACATTTAAATATGAAAAAATATTTATTATAAATTTTTAAAACTTTTTATATCTGATGTTTTTTAAAACTAGCATTTATGAAAATCCTTATATAAAAATAAAATTTATATGATTTTTTTATTAATCTATTATTAATCTTTATTATTAATCATCTTTATTGTTAAATTAAATTATAAACTTATTATCATTTAAAAATAGAATTATCTGATTATTATTATTTTACTAGATATAAATTTCTATAAAAATGTAAAAAAATAATTCCTCATCATATGGGTCTGGTTAGTTTTAATGTTATTATTAAATACTTAAATTTATTGTACAGTAGAACTATCCTACTACTTGACAGAATATCTATAAATAATCCTAAAATTTCAACTATTTTTAGGATTTGCTTAAAACTGAAAACTGTAATTGAGGTTAAAGGTCAAATATTCTTAAATTTGATGAAAATGATAAAAATAAATATAATTAAATAAAATATCATGTTAATATATATTTTTATTTTTTTTTAATTACATTCATTACTATTTTATTCAAACAATTTGTGTCTTTAATAAAAATAAATAAAAATTAAAATGACAGGGAATATATAATTAATTACAAAAAATTAAATATTATTACTAAAGTTCAAGCACTAAATCATAAAATTACATTGATTAATATTTATACAATTAATCTTCAACAAAATTGCCAAAAATTATAATGGTTTGGATTATAAAGATAAAATTAATCATATTGATTTCATTGTTAATAGTTTATACAAGGGAATTTAGAATTACATAATCGTTTTTAAAAAACTATTTATTGTGTCATTTTTTTTGTTACAATTTTAAAAAATTTCAATTATCCTAAAGAAGGCCTAGTTAATAAAATTAATCAATAATTCTGAACTAATCAATATTTCGCCATTGTACTAAACGCTATCAAGAATAAAAGAGTTGGAGTGAATATAAATAGTGCTCGACTTAACTTTTAAGAATGAATTATACTTCCATAATTGATTTCACTTTTAGTTTTCATTGTATAGAAAGCATAACATGAAATAATCACAAATGCATTTACCCATCCAATTAAATCAAGGCAATTCCAAAATTATAGGTAATCAATATGCAAATGGTTTAGATCATTAATGCATAACAAGAAAACGTTATAATTAATAACACTAATTATGAAACCCAAAATTGCTAATATAATAATTATAATAATTTTACTTTTTTAATATATATATTATTCCATAATTCAACCAAATTTATAGAATTGCTCCAATAATTAAAAAAATATAGAACAAAGAGGTTGGTATAATCTCATAATTATCTTTCTGAGAAATAAGGCATCCATTATCACACTCTTAAGCCTTTTAAGTTTCACAATAGCAATAGTCTTTAATATTAGAATTTTTGGTAATTAAACCAAATTGTAATTAAGAATAAAGACCAAGAAGAATAACTGCAAGGATAATAAAATTCTCAATAACCAACGCTGCATAAACACTACTTATGTAATCAGCTCTTTTTAAAGAATCCTTAAATTTTTGATCATCTTATATTTAATTAACATATGGATTACTTTCAATTGATTCAACTGAAAATTATTAAGAATATTGAGTTTAGTTATTCTCAAGACTATCAACAATGTAATTTAAGGGCTCATTAGGTTGATTTTTCTCATAACTTGTGTACATATACATTTTTTATTGGTGATATTTTAATAATGAAAAATAAATTCCATATTTTTTCACATCTGAATCGATAGTTAATTAAAATTATTTTTTATTTATTAATAAAAATTAACATCAATAAAATTTGCATATTATAACTGCTAAAACAAATGTTTTATATGTAAAGAAAATACTTGTTCTAAAATTCGAATCATTAATTGATACTTAGAATTAAGTTACTAAATATATTTTTGTATACGATATTAAGTTTGATAAAATAGTTTTTTATAATTACTACTCTCAAATAGACTTAGTTTAGTTTAATAATCGTAAAAAAGTATCCTGAAAACTCCAAAAAATAAATAATACACTTTCTAACTTTTGAAGGAAGGTAGATCCAGTTGTGGAATTAAAAATAATTACTTTTATTGAAAAATTCGATGTTTTAATCGACGTATCTAAACACTTGTAATAAAAGTAAATTGAAAATATGTTAGATATGATTTTAAATATACTAATCAGTATAAGAATTTAAAGTTTGATAAATAATTGTAAAATGAAATTATTAAAAATAAATAAAATAATGAACTTCAAGGAAAAACTTAGATATAAACAGATTTTATTAAGTCTACTTTAATTAAAATTTGAAGGTGATTAAAGTTAATAACAAAAAGAATGATATTTTAATAAAATTTTCAAATTTTCAAATTTCACTTTTTATACTTTCATAACAAATTTATTGGAATAAATAAATTTAGAAATCTAAAAAATATTTGGCAAATTATATTTTATTGAATTAAACCAAAAATATTTAATTTAAGAAGGTTGTTTTGAATATTAATATAAAGAAATAACAACTTAAACTTAATGGCCAAGGCATAGAATATTGTTAAAATCAAATGAAATAAATATCGTAGAATCTTTTTGGAGTAATCTATTTAATAAATCAACTTAAATAATTTATATATCATAAAATCAATTAATGATTGCTAAAAGAAAAATTAATGATGTTTTTGTTTTACAACTGATTTAAGTAGCTAAGTGAAATATTTTTTTTGCACGAAAAATTGAAGGAATGATACATTAAGAATACTTTTATAGATTATGACTGAGCAAAATAAGAACATAATTAATTATCATCATTGCATTTATCATAAATTTAAAGCAACATTAATAAATACATTAAAATCTACAAAATTTAAATGGTCCTGCTTGTTATCAATTATTATCATTTTGATTAGAAATTTTAACATTTTTTCTATTACTTAATTATATCCAACTTTTATAACATTCTATACAATATTTTGCAAAAAAAATAGGCAGATTAATAAACAACAAACTTTGGCATTTATAGTAACCATCAAATTAAATTAAATATCAATCATAAATAACTATTTGCTTTTGATTTATATTTTCCAAAATAGGTTTCCATTTAAACTAATTAATTCATGACTCGAATCACAAATAAATATATACCATAATCACATTCCTCACTATTGAAAGGAAGAATATTAGCTATTAAAACATAAATCCTTCCAATATTCATTTATTTCAGATAGTATATCTTCTAAAAACTGGAATCCAATAATCACTAATTTAAATTAAAATTTGTTGATTTCTAGTATTAAAAAAATCTGATTAAGGCTAAATTAATTCAAGAATATTTTTGAAAAAAATGGTATTTTTCTTTTGCTAACAAAAATATTGTTAATACTAATATGAAATATTCTTATTGTATATTAATCTTTGTATAATTAATAATTTATCATAGAAGTTATCTTAAATGTTATTAATACACTTTTAGTTTAAAAATTCTCGAGAATTCAATGAAATTTTTTGTAATAGTAGCTTCAAAGAAGAAAATAAATTGAGATATTAATAAATTAGTAATTTGTTTTTATAAGAGAATTTATAGGAAGCTTTTAAAATATTAAAGAAAGAAAATAGTGAAATTAGAAGGATAATTAACAAAAAATTTCATGTAATTTTAAAGATGTTCTCTTGATATATCAAAACTTAAAAAGTAGTAGAAAGTGATTTGAATTCTAAAATTATTAACTTTCATAAAAAATTATGTTTTTTGAGAAATATTGATAATTAGTAAAGTAAAAAGTATAATTTTTTATTTTAAGTTTTATGATAATTTGCATAAATGATCTTATAATATTATTTTATTTAATTATCATAATCATAAATATGATAGGGATCTCATTAATAAAGATTTTGTTTTTGTATCGAGCTCCAATTTACTAAAGTTGCTTTGATCCATTAGGAAGTGATTGTTTAAATAACGGATGGTCAATATCAAATAGGATTGATACTTGTGCAGGTATTAAATATATAGGACGATTTGGAGAAAGAGTTCCGCTAACATAAACCTTTTTGTGTCCACAAGGATTGTAGATGAAATTTTCTTTCACAATTGGAATGTTTGATTCTTGGGATTTACAGGAAAATTTTTTCGTATATTGTGACAATGTACTTATTGATACATTTAAATATACTCCTGCTCATTCTTCTCATCTATGTTTTGATTCTGTCTATAGAGAAGATATAGTACAAAAATCGTTTAGATTTTAATCTCCTTTAGGTAAAAATAGTCTAACACTTAAATTACAAGATGATCTTGATGAATCAATTAATAATGGTATATGAATAATATATTTAGAATCTTGGGGAATAAGAAATGTACTTTTAGAAGTTTTTGAACCTTGTGTTGACTTTTTTAGTGAATGCAATTACCAAGGAGAATTTTGGAGAATTTGTGCTGGAAATTAAACTAGTTTATCAAAAAATCTTCCCTTATAAATCAAATCAATTATAATTTTAAAAGGAATAATAGTTAAATTAAAAGATGCAAAGTATTTTGGAGGTAACATGTAAACATACACTACTGATTAACCTTGTTTGAATGATTTTAATGTATTTTAATTATTAAACTAGTTTCCAAAATACCAAAAGACAATATGAAATCCATTTATGATATTAATATTATTTTCTATATATATATACCATTTATCTGATTAATAATTATTTACAAAGTTTCTAAAATTAGATAATTTATATTTCTTTTTATTACTTTAAATTTTTATTATAATTGTTGTATCTATATATTTAACAACCTAATAATTTCGGTCTAAAATAATGATCTGGCATAAAGTTTAAGGAGTTATAAAAATTTTGAGTTAAATCGACTTGATAAGTCTCTTCTTACCTCAAGCACAAATAAATAATAATAAATAAATTATAAAACAAGATTTGAAATTGTTAAAAGAAAAAGTAGTTATATTTTTGGCAATAGCGTTTTGAAATAATTTAACATCTGTTTATGCAAACTAGCAGTAAATATGAATATTTTGATAATATTTTTATTATATATTGCCTAAATACATTTAAAATTTATCAATTATAATTATTACAATAATTCTTAAAAATGTTACTAAGAATTTAAATTTTTATTTTTGATATCTAGCAACCAGATATTTATTTAGATTCTTCCATGATTAATTGAATCCCTTTTTTGAAAGTTATTTATTTTTGTGTTTAGCTATTGATACACCAATCTATATGATTCCAATCAAAATAGTTTTATTACGTGATTTTAATTTATAGATTTATTCTTAAATTAATAACGCAATTGCTATATTATAATTTATCCTACTTTAATTTGAGATGCTATTTTATTTCTTTAAGATCTTTAAATTGAGAATGCGAATAAATAATTCTTTCTTTCTTCCTAAATTAATTAATTAGATTTTTTTTTTTATAATACTGATTTTATGAGTATAAAATTTAAATAAAATTTCAACATAATAAAACTTATTAAATTTTAATCTTCATTCTAACTCTAAATGATTATTAAATAAAATTATTTTACATAAAGAATTTAATTAAAAATTTTTTTTAATTCTTGGAAACTTTTCTCTTTTTTTACTAAAAAGAATAAATTAATTTTACACTACATTTTGATTTATCCAACAATATATTAAATATTCGACTATGAAAATAAAATAGAAAAAGTTCTAATGTAAGAATGCTTTGAAAAAAACACAAAATAACTATGAAAAGTGAATATTTGCATTGAATATCTAACAATATCTTAATTTATCGTAATTGATGCTTTTTTTCCTAAACTTGTTATTAATTCAGTATAACGCATATATTTATTCAATACAAAAGAGAATGTTTATGAATTCAAAAATAAAAAAATATGAAGCAATAACATAATGACTATAATTTTGTATGCCTAGTTTATAAAATAACATATATATTAATAATGATAATTTTTGATTTTTTTATAATTCAATGATCATAATTCATTTATTTCACTTTCTTATTCTCCTTTAAATCCATCTAAATCCATATACCTATTTTTTTTCCTTATCCATTATATTCTCCTGTAAAAGTTATTTAATCATTTTTATCAAATCCATTTTATAACTCAACCCATTTACCAACTTTCACTGAATGTCCATTTTACTCATCATATGATCCTCCGCCACTATAATGAATATTAAAAGTTACATTTATTCATTTTTTTTGCTTCCAAAATTCTTCTAAAACCATGTATCCCATCTACCAATTTTATTTCCATTCATATTATATTCACCCACATATGTAATTTGAGACCCATTCCAAAACCCTTCACTTATGTCAATCCAGCTCCCAACCTTTTCAGAAACCCCATTTTATTCATTATAAGATCCACCACCACTACATTAAACTTATATTTTTACATTTATATTCCCTTAAATAAAATATCCCATCTATCAACTTTATTGCAATTTTGATTATACTCACCTTTATAAGTAATTTAGGATGCACTCTGAAACATGTCGCTTAATTCAATCCACTGGCCAATCTTTCTTGATAATCCGTCACAAACTTCATATGTTCCACCGCCACTAAAATTTATACAACTTTTACATTTATTTATAATCTTTGTCCTCTTTGTAAAAGGTATCCCATCTACCAATTTTCTTACTAATCAGATTATATTCACCAGTATAAGTGACTTGTAATGTATCCTTGAAACCATCCGATAACTCAGTCCACTATCCAATCTTTCTAAAAGCTCCTTATTATTCCTCATAAGATCCACCTCCGCTAAAATAACTAGATTCTTTACATTTTATTTCCTCGATATACGAAATTCCATCTACCAATTTTATGACCATTTATATTATATTCACCTTCAAAAGTGACTTATTTGGAATCATTAAAACTTTCTAAATCCTCTATCCATTATCCAACCTTTTTTGAATCTCCTTCTTAGAAATTATATAATCCACCACCACTATCATAATTTTAAACTTTACATTTTTGATCTCCTAAATAAAACATCCCATCTTCCAACTTTTTAGCCAATCATATTATACTCACCACTATAAGTGGTTTAGTTCCTACCGCAAAATCCTGAGCATTCTTCAATCCATTATCCAATTTTTTTTTATATTCCCTCTATTTCGTAATAAAGTCCACCACCACTTAAATAAATAGTAATCTTTACATTGGTAATCCCTGATGTAAAATTTCCCATTTTCCAACTTTTATTCCTTTCTTATTATATTCACCATTATAGGTGACATAAGCATCATCACTAAATCCATCTATGCATTCTCTCCAGTATCCTATTTTTCTTGAAACTCCTTCTTATTCCTCATACGATCCTCCCCCTCTACAATAAATTAATAAATTAAAACATTACATTTTACATTCTTTCATTTACATTTCCCACTTACCTACTTTATTGCCATTTGCATTATATTCACCATAAAAAAGGAGTTAGCTCATATCCTAAAATCCCCAACATACTTCTCTCCATATACCAATTTTTTTTGAAGTTCCTTCTTACTCATCAAATGATCCTCCGCCACTAAAATATAAGTGTTGATTATACATTTATTTAGATTCCTAGTCTTTTTTATATATAATGTCCCATTTACCAACTTTATTACCATTCAAGTTATATTCACCTTCAAAAGTAACTTAACTTTATTCCCAAAATCCCTCCCAGTCTTCAATCCATCTTCCAATTTTCATTGAAATCCCTTCCTATTCATCATATGATCCGCCACCTCTAAAATATTTTGGATTCTTACATTTATTATCCCTTATATACAATAATCCATCCACCAATTTTATTACCCTTATTATTATAGTATCCATTATAAGTAACTTAAGATGCATCTCTAAAGCCATTTGATAACTCGATCCACTTCCCGAACTTTATTGAACTTTCTTCTTACTCATTATATGAACCTCCACCACTAACATATTTTTACATTTACATATTTATATACTACTTTTCTCTCTGCTGACTATACATGGTATCCCATTTACCTTTTTTTTACCCCTTCAAATTGTATTCGCCATGATAAGCAACTTTTGAAAAGTTGCTAAATCCCTCAGAAAACTCAATCCATTTGCCTTTTTTTATCCCATTTTAATCATACACTCCAATTATTCTAATTTTTTCTATTAATATAAGTACATTTCTTTTTCTTAATAAATATATTTCCAAATTCCAAATCTTTTATCATTTACATATTCTCCTGATTCATATGCTTAGGCTTTACTAACAAAATTAATAATTTTAGACTACCTCCAATAATTAAGAATTATTTCTTTCCATTACCCTTCTTTTATGCCATCATTAGAGTACTATCCACCTAAATCAAATAAAATTTCCCCATTCCATGTAATTATCCATTTTCCAATCTTTTAATTATTCTATCCGTATTGTCCAATCCACTATAAATAATTTATCTATTCATAATTATTCATCATAATAGGTGGTTTTGTGATTTCTATAAATTAATCTCTATATTGGATATATATTCAAAAATACATTCTAATGATTTAGCCGTCTTTTATGTATTTTACTTCTTTGTTTTTATTAAATCCAACTTCAAACTCAATTCCAATATATCTACCATTATTCCAAAAAAATCCTTTATGTTTTTATAATCCCTCAAATCTTTTGAAAATTGCTGAGAATTATTTTTCTTGAAGTCTAAAAAAATGAAGAATTGACTTTTACTTTGTTTACGAAATAAATTACTAATTATGCTTTTAATGATTCATTTTGAGATATTCAATTTGATCCTCTAAATTTTTTATTGCTTAATTTAATTTTATCATAAGGGAACTTGTAAATTTTTACCATTTTTCTAATCCATCACCTTCAAGTATATTTACTATTTCATTAAGATCAGAATTAGATAAATCAGCAATATTCGAGGTTTACAAGTTCAAGCAAATTTAATCTTCTTTATTAATAAGATTAAAACAATTTTCTAGTATATTTTTACAATCTTCCTTCATTTCCAATATCAACTTTTAAAATTTGTTGAATATCTATGAAAAAGCATTTTTTATTTATTATTATTATTAATTATAGTTTGGTTTGACTTTGTTCAACTTTTCATTAATGAACTTAGAAAAATCATTAATATTAATCTAGTATTTTTCATCAAAACCATGTTTCTCTAAACATATTGAGCAAAGCTTTCTATGGCAATTATGGGGCTGCGTACAAATGAAAGCTAATGGGCAAGTTGTATGATTCTAGCAAAAATTCATTTATTTGAAAAAAAAATAATGTTGATTGGAATAATATTTTATATATTTAAAGAGATGTTGAAAGTATCTTTTAATTGATTTTTAAAAAGAAAATGATTATTAATAATCTTTAAAATTTTGTATAGTTAACATATATTTTCTTTCAGTAAATATTAAGAGCTTAATCAACAGGATAACACACAATGAACAAAAAAAATAGTTAAAAAAATAAGATTAAAATAACTATGTCAATATGAAAAAAATTTTTGTTTTTAGAAGACCCATACAGATTATAAACAATAATTCCTTTTTCCAATTATAGAAATGATAAAATAAATTACAACTGCTGAAAACAATCTTTACAATTAGAAATATAGAATTTTGGCAACAATTCTCAATTTCATTTATCTAATATTGAATTCTATATTTATTCTTCTAATATACCAATCTGAAATTTTCTTTTTAATAATTGTTGAAATCAAGAAATTTTAGATATTTTGAGAATACAATTTAAGGTTTTTGTCAAAAAAATCTAATTGTTCTGCACTATTACTATACTCTTCAAAAAAGGAGCTCCATGAACAAGTTTTAAATTGTTTTAATTCTTGTTTCCATTTAAGTATTTTCTAAATTAAATTTAAGAACGAAGATTTAATAGTATCAAGTAATTAAGATTAAAAACTAAAATTTTGGATAAAGTAAAATTTTATTTTTGAAGCAAATGATTAGATCCTGTTTTATTAAATGTGAAGAATCGACCTAAATATCACTTAAACCTCACTTCAATTCACATTTATAATTTTTATCTACTTAGTTACATCAAATCATTAGATAGAAGTATTGGTTAATGATTAATATTGATTTATCTAATTTAATAGCAAAGGAAGGAAAAAAATATCTTTAATTACTTTTAAAAATACTTCAATTTATACAGAAACCAAACCCATCAATCAAAGAGATAATATATTTGCATTTAAAAGCTCTACGTAAAAATTGTAATGGCCTTCATTCAATAATTGTAAATAAATATATTGTAGAGAAATTGAATTTGCATTTAAGGCAAGAGATGATAAAACGAATAATGCCATGTTTTTCTGAAGTTGAAATTCATTTGTCTGAATATTATAAATAGTGAATATATAAAAAAGTATAAGGATTTTTAAAAAAAGTATACATCATATATTTATGTATTTAGAGACATAAAGAATTGCAAAAATATGTTGATTTTAATAAAAAATTACTATGTTGGTAAAATATTCTTATGGTTGGAAAATATTATGTATAGTAATTTCTTCATATAATTAACTTTCATCAGCTCTTCGAATGATTAAGAATTATTCATAAGACTTTAATCAGAATTATTTAATTTCTCATCTTAATTTTTTTAGATATTTTGATAAGGAATACGCTTCGATTTATATTTATCATTTAATCAATAATAGACTTGAAAGTATAATTAATACTTTTCACCTTACATTGATTTCAACTCCAAAATACTTATATGAATACATAAAAGGAATTTCTTCAAAGACCTTGCTCAAATAATTTCTCTTCTTACGCTGATTTAAAAACTCAAAAGGGTGAAAAGTGTGGATTTTGAATTGTTACTTGAATTATGAATTTACAAGTTTTATCTGGTAATTGATTTTCAGATTCAAATGTAAATATATATCTTTGAGTTCAGAGATAGTATAAAACTCAACATTTCTAAATAATTAACAATTTTGAGAATATGTCCTTAAGCTGTTTTTCTTATAAAGTTTCATAATACCAATCTAATTATTAAAATTATGAAAGTATAAAATTTAATTAGGCTCATTTTTATGAATCAGAAGGAATGTCATGTAGTGTAAGAAACATACCTTTCAAATTTAATATTAATTTAGGATAAGTAGAAATAATCATTTTTCAAGTTGTTTATTAGAAATTTGAAGCTTTTATTTTCTATATTTATTCTCCTTTGAAAAAATATTATAAGCTTCTTGAGAATAAGATGAATGAATCTATTATAAAAACTATTGACGCTAAGCCAAAAGCCTTAATTATATTTTGTGGAAGCATTAAACAATATTCAATTATCATTAGGAATACTTATCAGAATATACCAATAGAACTCGACCTATTACTCATAAATGGATTATATTCCTCTTTTTTGAAATATTTACTTAATTTAATTCTGATGTGTCAGTTCTTTTAATCGTTTTTCTGTAGTATTAAGTACAATTGATAATAAAATTGTTAAATGTTATATTATTAGCATTCAAAACATCTTACTTCGGCTCGCTATTATCAATTTAAATCAATTCAAATTATAAGGATTTGACTCAAAAAGAGGTTTTTCTCAGAATTACAGCTTTTTTCGTATCTATCACTAAAAGAAATTTAGGACATGCTAGAAGTCGAAAACATAAATAAAAATACTGCAACTTTTTCGTTGATCTAAAGTCCACTAATTGCCTCCTAAGATTTGTAGTTGATAATTACTTGATTGCAATTTTCATCAATTTTTATTTACAAAAAATTGGATTGAAAATTTATGATTGCATTCTCAATATCCTTCTTTTCACTTTCATAATTGAATTACCCAAATGATACCAAATGATATGAAAAAAAAATTTTTTTGATTGTTTTTAAAATAGGCAGTGTTATAAAAATCTATAATTAAATGAGATGAAAAAGAAAATAAAATAAATTTTAAAAATAAAAATATCTTCAATAATTATAGCAATATGAGAAAAAGACCATAAAATCTAAATTATAGATAAAATACTCATGATATCTTGTAATTTTCAAGTTTTAGGACAATTCTGCTGAGCTATCCAAAATTTAACTTCCTTTAAATTAGAATAATTATCATAAATCTTCTCCTTATTAATTTACAAATTGTCCATTAAGGATCAAAACACCTGAAGCTGAAAAAATAGGTGTTTGCGATATTAAAAGAATAGTATTCCAAGTTATGACTAAATAATATAAAATCTAAATAGTACTTTTTGGAAATATAGTGTTGGAAAAAAGAGGAGTTCCAAATTATGCTAATTTAACTTTATAGAGTTTATCTGACAGAAGTATTTATTGGCCTGATTCAACATCCCAGCAACAAATGGAATTATCTGAAGTGCCAGGTAGTTCCATTAGAGAAAAGCGTACTTAAATAACAGGGTGAGTATGACCATCTAATTTAGCTATTTTTTATCCTGTCCTTATATCTCATAAACTAATTGAGTTATCTGCACTACGTAGTACCATCAGGAGAATAGCATATTGAGTAGATTCTGTTACTATGATCATCCGAAATGGCGTGTTGTTATCCTAACTTTACATCCCATAAACAGATTAAGTTATGTGAACTGCCAGATGCTAAGGTTGTACTATCAGGTGAAAAACATACTGATCCAACATAATGGTTATAATCCTCCAAAATGCATTTTAGTTATCATGACTTAAAATCCCATTAAAATGATAGTTTTATCTCAACAACTATAGACTAATGCAGTTTAATCAGGAGAGAAACTCATGGATTGGACATTATGGCTATGACAATCTAATTTCGCTCTTTATAAATATGATTTAACGTTCCATAAACAGATAGTGCCAGATACTATAAGTTGAAATTCATTTATCTGAATATTATAAAATAGTGAATATATCAAAATTTAAATACATCATATATTTATGTATTTAGAGACATAAAGAATTGCAAAAATATGTCTATGTTGGTAAAATATTCTTATGGTTGGAAAATATTATGTATAGTAATTTCTTCATATAATTAACTTTCATCAGCTCTTCTAATTATTAAGAATTATTCATAAGACTTTAATCAGAATTATTTAATTTTTCATCTTAATTTTTTTAGATATTTTGATAAGGAATATGCTTCGATTTATATTTATCATTTAATCAATAATAGACTTGAAAGTATAATTAATACTTTTCACCTTACATTGATTTCAACTCCAAAATTCTTATATGAATACATAAAAGGAATTTCTTCAAAGACCTTGCTCAAATAATTTCACTTCTAACGCTGATTTAAAAACTCAAAAGGGAGTATTTTCTTTTGTTAAGCTATTATACCCTAAATGTCTTGATGATTTTCAAAATTAATATAAGCGGATTTTAACTCTTCAAAAAAACCAACTTGTAATCTAAAGAGTTTGTATTTACTGAAATTTTAAGTGTTAATTCAAATCTCAACTCTTAAAATTTATTTAGAAGACTTAATATGGTGATAGGCCTAAATAAAGAAGAGTAAGGAATATTGGGAGACTATTTATTTGATGAACAATTTTAAATAAACTAAAGTCAGGTACAATATCTTAAACCGATATATTGGAGAGTTCCTTAAATTATTTTATAAGTTATAAGTTTCCTGTTTTGAAATACAAACTTCTGATATTAAAACAATTGTTAGAGATTTTCTAATATATTGCTTTCTTTGATATACTGAAATTAATAGAAATTCAAGGGAGGTAAGTTAAATACTATTATTATTTAATACCTTATATTAAAATAAAGTGTAGGATAATTTTTCCTTTTATCACTTTTTAATCTAAAAAAAATTATATTTTGCTTCCATCTCTCTTAGTTGAATTGGTGGATATAACCTATTTAAGAATATAATCTGAAAATTTGCTTTAATTTGAGTGAAGAGAGTATTTTATTTTTTAATTATTTAATATCTTATCCATATTATGAAATCTACTCAAAACCCATTCTTTTTCGTTTATATAATTAAAATTGATTAGCATTATTGAGTAATTATTCATAGAATTGTTTAAACATTTCACAATCATATAAACTTAATTTAAGTTATAGACTTTCCTTTTATTCAAAATATATATAAATTTATTTAGCACTTTTAGTAACTTCTCTAGAATTCAAAATCATCAGATGATCAGATAGATTTGAATTTATATACTTTTACTTTGTATTAAATTTTTTCCCTATCAAAAATATTTCTGTTTTTGTTTTTAACAGTCTTTCATCCTTAAGAGAGTATATCTTCAGTATGATGATTTGAATTTCACTATTGACTCAAAAGTAAAATTTATTATAAAAATTAACCAGATGTGAAGTATTTCTGCATATGAATTTTTTTTTGCACACCATTACAGAAACACCTTTTTAAGTTTTTATTCTCTAAGTTTATTTAAAAACAATATTGTTAAAATTAAGAAAATTGTACTCACTAATCTTACTAACTACAACTTCCAAATTTTTTTATATTTATTTTTAACTAGTGTCTCTACACATGATATTGTAGCTCAGATATTTATCATAACTACAACAACATTCACAATTAAATTAAAAAGTAGTTACAGGGTTTAACGTTAAGTCAAGTTTATGTATTTTCTACTCAAATCTGATAATTAATAATTCTTTTGTTGCTAGAAAATTTCTCGTGACAGTTTATTATCTTTTTTGTTATGATTTTTACTTCTCTTCTACTTTTTTATTGGTTATATTAAAAACAAATATATAATAAGATATTAAATTTGAATTAAATAATTGCCCAAACAACAATAATCATAATGATGTATAAAAGTAGGATTAAAATAAGCATTGGATTCATTTCTATTATATAGATTGAAGTAGTTTCTAATAATTGATTTATTTTTTTTGAATAATTTGATCAGAAAGGATATAATGAAAAGCTTCTAATAGTGTATCACAATATTGGTGTTAACAAATATTTAGAATAAATAATTCAATATCATAATATAAGTAAAATTAAGTGTAAATTGTTTATGAAAGAATTCCTTTCTATAGAATAGAATTATTATTTTAAAATATTTATTAATATAAAATATAATTATGCATAAAAACACAAATTAAAATTTGAAGGGACAATTTAATGGGAATTAAATAGAAGAAGAAAATACCATTAATTCCTTTCATTATATCATAGTAGATGATACTTCGTAATAATTTAAAAAATGAAAACTCTTGAATTCAATTTCTAGAATACTTATAAAAATAATATCGTTTCAATATTTTTTCTAACCTTTTTTTTGTTATTAAAATTTATCCTTCAAATCATTTTTTTACAATATTTGAATACTTTTTAGCAATCAAGTTCTATAAGTTTTTTTATTTATTGAGTTAAAATAGTATATAATATTGACGTTTTTTCTAATAAAATACATAAATTAACACTTTCCCAGAACTCAAAGGCCCATAAGATTTACTTCAAAAATTAAAATTTTAACGGATCAGCAATTTCTTTCTGCAAAGTTTTTTCATCCCCTTAGCTATTAAATATTATGTATTATTAAGGGGTGATAATTAACAGATATATATTTAAACTTGTACGAATAAATTTGAATATAAAAGGATGTATAAATTCAAACTAAATTGTGAGCAAGTTTTTATCAATCAGTTTTTGAAAAGTGTGGATTTTGAAGTGTTACTTGAATTATGAATTTACAAGTTTTATCTGGTAATTGATTTTCAGATTCAAATGTAAATATATATCTTTGAGTTCATAATACCTATCTAATTATTAAAATTATGAAAGTATAAAATTTAAGTAAGCTCATTTTTATGAACCAAGAAGGAATGTCAGAAACATAGCTTTCAAATTTAATATTAATTTAGGATAAGTAGAAATATTCATTTTCCAAGTTGTTTATTAGAAATTTGAAGCTTTTATTTTCTATATTTATTCTCCTTTGAAAAAATATTATAAAGTTTTTGAGAATAAGATGAATGAATCTACTATAAAAATTATTGACGCTAAGCCAAAAGCCTTAATTATATTTTGTGGAAGCATTAAACAATATTCGCATACAAAAGATCTCATATAAGGGAATGGTCCTACATTTTAAAGAAAAGATAAAGATAAAAAAAGATAATCAAAAACTAATTGCATAAGCATCAGTATCAAATCATGCAATTTTAATTGGTAAGATCAACATAAATAGATCTCTTATAAGTAAAATATAGCATGAATTTATTGTCAATAAAACAAATATTTATCTTTTGAATAAATCATGTGAAAATGATATCTAAGCTTTTTAAAATTTTTATCAGAATTTATAATTGAATTAACATAAATTTTAATCCTATTAAAGAATAAATTGGATAGTAAATAACTTTCAATAAGATCTAAAAATAATAAGATACAGAAGACTCTAGAATTAATAGAAAAAATCTTAGATCTAACAATAATGAAAAATTAACATATAACTAATAGAAAACTCATAATATTACACCACTAAAAACTTGTTGGAGGCATGATGGATTGTTGTACGAAGAACGAAAAGATCGTTACTGATCAATCAATTAAGTTCAGAAAAAAGGATTAAGAATACAGTAGCAATTAAATTTTTGAGAAGTTAGACTTATTGCTCTTAAAAAAGTTTATCCTTAGATCCCTAAGCTGACTAATTTCGCTCAATAATAATCTTAAGTCTAATCTATAAATGGCTAAAACTTAGATTGTTAAATAAATGAATTAAAAATCTCCAAAAAATGATAAACTTCCTATTTCTTTAACCATGGAACAATTAACCACATATTTAGATAATATAATAAAGAATAATGTATCTTAATCTTCAATTTTGTAAAAATAGTTAAGGAGCACTTAATAGGTAACAAATTTCTTTTATGGTTAACATATATTAATCCATATTTCTAATATATATTCCCAAATCTGGATTATAATTGAAAAAAATAGAATGAAACGCTTATTCTACTCAGAAGGAGTATAAATTAATGCGTAATTTACTAAAAATGCCTCCAAACTGGTTCATATAAATGAATATACACGAAGTTATTGACCAATTTAAACAAAAAACCAAGAAAATGAAATAATAAATAATTCATAGGTT